TCATCCTCCATCCATCCAACCATCATCCATCCATCCGTCATTCATCCATCAACAATCCATCAATTCATCCTCCATCCATCCAACCATCATCCATCCATCATTCATCCATCAACCATCCATCATCCATCCATCAATCATCAACTCTGGGACCCTGAAAGCAAACTGCAAAAAATATAGAGATGATTTCAGATATCCAATCATCATCCAACCATCCACCCAACAATTTATCCATCATCCTCTCATCCATCCAATAATCTTAGTCCCACCTGACCACAACACCCTCTTCCACATGTTTGGGAAAAATGTTTTCATTTTTATCCAGCAGTCAAAGACGAAAATGTTTCTGCCAGTTTCTTTGAGTGAGCATCGTGTGCCTCTGGCCTCTTGGTGTCAGGAAACAATTGGTTTTCTTTTTGTTTGTGTTATTGTCAGGCGCCCTGAGGGCCTGCGCCACACGGTGTTTCTACCTGCGTCTGCGTACCTGTTCAGGCCTGATCTGGGCTTTAACCAGATGATCCACCACAGACTCTGTCAGAGGAACGTCTCTCAGCAGGAATGACGTCAGAGTTTCGTCGTCCTTCAGGATCGTCTCCACCGTTACTCCCCGACCTGCCAGAGAGCACACAGGCGGTTATGTTTACCCAGAGCTGCAAATGATGCAGATCTCTCCACGGGACGCACAAGGAGGAAAAACTGGTTGAGTTGGGAATAAACGGGATTCTTACGAGCATTCAGGACGAGTAGTAACAAGTGGGGCTCAGATGAAACTCACAGGTGTCACAAAGACCTGGCTAATAAAGTTTATACAGTAAGAAACAGAACCAGCGCAGTGTTTATCTTGTGTTGACAGTTTATGTGTCCTTTGTGACTAATTCATGTATTTTYTGTGCCGTTTAAAAGACTTTAGTCCAGGAATCAAATCTTTAATACTGATGTATCTCAGGATAAACTTTTATAAGTTTGGTTTAATTTGTAACAAGTTTGMAAAAACAGGATTTGTATGAAAACATATGGTGGACGTGTTGAAACAAGCAGGGTTTAATGAAGGAAATGGAATYAYGGATAAAAACWTCCCAACTAKTCCCTCCYGTCTTTGGAAAAATAAAGTTTAKCTTTGAGTAGATTGACYAGCTAACGGCTAGTCTGAGCGAGACCAAGACTAAGGTAGATCTCTGCCTTCTTAAATTGACTAATTTTCAGAATTGTGGCTGTTATTAAAGTGTTCAGTTGTTTTAACAACACTGTGAATGCTCATCTCCAACAGCTCGCCAAAATAAAAGCTTTGCCTSATTTTGGATTGTTACTTCCAGCAGGATGCTAATGAAAGCCCGGAGCGCTGACCTGAGACCTTCTCAGGATGAGTGCGCAGCGTCTCCATGAAGTGGCTCATGGAGCTCAGTTCCCTCCAGAGGCGGCCCAGCTGAAGAAAGTCCGGGTCACTGAGGAGGAGCTCATCAGCATCCGAGTAGAACCGAGCCAGACTGAGGGCAGAGGTCAAGAAAAGGTTACCACCATGTTCAGCCGAGCGTTGGACCACAGTTTACCGCCTCGGGTTGAAGGTTCTGAYGCCTACATGGAGTTGTTGTAGTTGGACACCAGACCAGGAGACTCTCCTTGGGTCGGGAACTGGAAACAGGGGTTGTTGGCGTTGCAGAGGATCCCCTGGATCCACGGCAGGACCCCTGCTGACGGCATGGCCTTGTTTGGGAAGTGACCTGAGGGAGAACAGATAGCTATTTTATTTTAACTGCTAATATTTTAGCTTTTAGCCAGCATTTTGCTACTTTTAGCATTTGTTTAACCATTGCTAGGCCCATCTTTGCTCACACTCATGTTGACGGTAGAGCGGGTTGACCCTCCTCAGACAGACCAGACCCATGAACAGAACCACYGGCCACATGATCTCCATGAAGAAACGGATCTGGAAAAACAACCAGTGTTGGACCAACAGAGCTCAGAGTGTTGATATGACTCTCAGCTACCAACTCTCCAAATTTTAGCTCAACATCAGTAAACCTGTCTGAGTTATCCACATTTCTGTGCTACGATCAGCTGACTGTGGCATCCATCTTTAACTGACTCCAAAACTTAAATTGTTGAAGTTTTACTAAAAACAAACTGTTAGTTTGAGATATTTTGCTAATAGACAAGTAAAAACATCCCTGTCGTCCTGACTCTTAGCAAAAAGTAGTATACCTGAAGGTCATTTTAAAAAGTATACTTGAGTATAAGTATATCAAGTATAATTGGAACCATGAACATGTAGTGTACCGATAGAGTACACTACATGTACTCTATCAGAGTACATGTATACACTACAGTACTATACTTTCAGTATACACTACATGTATACTGAAAGTATACTGATTTAATACTCATTTGCACTAAATTGGGACTTTTTTAGTTTATAAAAAGTATACTTTAAGCATACTGTTATGTTTATAAACTTACCAAAAAGAAGTATACTTTAAGTATTCAGATAAACAGGGTATTAGCAAAATATCTTATTTACTAACTGTTTACCTTTCTAGTWCTTTTATCCATCGAATAAGGAGACAAGTTCTCAAACACCACAGAATTGCATGTCATAAAATATACTAAAGTATTTAAGTGTATTTCCAGAAGTGTACTTTAATTTAGCATGTACACTGATATAAGTATACTAGCAGTTTACTAACAAGTATACTTCTAYGACTAAATTGGCCCACAATAAGTTTATGAATGTATACTCAGATGTATACTGAAGGTAATCTTCTAAGTACACTTTTAGCTTAATCATGAAATATACTACAAATGTGTGAAAATGTACATTCAGTGTACTACTAAAGTTTATCTTGGCCAAAGTTTAAACATTAGTATAACTATTCTTAATCTTTTAGTATWCTTTTAGTACAAGCCAAGTATGTCAGATAAACTTGGTTAAGTATAACTCAGATGAGTACATAAAAGGTAAACTGGAAGTATACTCTTATTTTTAGTTTAAAATTAGTATTCTTAATGAATACTTGCATATACRACTAACAGCTGAGTGGGTTTTACCCGTTGCCTCCGGCGGACGGTCCAGTTCTTCCACAGGAGGAGTCGGACCTGTCCTCCTGATCCCATGACGCCTCCTCTCCACACCAGCGGAGGGCCCGGCTCTGGCCCACAAACCTGAACCCAACCAGTTTTACTGACACAGAACAGAACCGTAGTTTTTTCACAGATCTTTCACTTTCTGTGGCAGAAATCCATTTAATGAATAAGCTGATAATTAGCAGCTAAAATCATTTTATTAAAATAAACCTTCATATATGAAGCTAGTAACCATGGCAAACGCCTCTCGCCACATCTACCTCAGCCTCTCACCTCAGATGAACACAGGTCAGCTCTCAGTGAATAAAACTTCCATAACAGCAGGTTTTCTGTGGAGCGTTCCCTCCCTCTGGGTGCTAACGCAGCTCGTTTTCAGACCTCGTGAACACTTAATCTGATTAATTTAATCTACTTTCTCAGCGCTGGGAGGCCACTCACAGGCCTCTTCCTTCTCTCCTGCAACCACCTGCTAATCCTGCCTCAATCACAGACCTGTCTGACTCTCATCTGTTAYCAAAATATCTCACAAACCACTGGACAGATTTTTAATGAAACTCGAGAGGCCGAAACTCGAGACGGTCCAATCCAAGATGGCCAATACAAATATTACTACAACTCAGTGAATTTTACAGAAACTGACCTAAAAACCAGCATGGTAGCTGAAAATGATTCACAAAACATACTCTAAAGGTGATAATTAGCCATATGTTCATTTTAAGGTTTGACCAAAACATTTCTTTTTTTTAATATAACCTTATTCGTTAAGTTTGATTTGACAGTACTGTATGTAACGGATTCTGGATCTGTGTCAGAGTTTGGATTTGTCTTATTCCTTTCTTGAATCGATGCTTCTTGAATAAACCAAGTTGAAACTACTGCTTAAATAGTTTTGGTCCTTGTGGTGGGATTATAGATAACTTAACGTACAATAGATAACTAAATAAACTTATTCTGGTTCTTTTGGATCTTTTCATGAAGGCAGTTAGTCAGAAGACACACTGTGAGTGAAGAGACAGAAGTTTGAACAGAGACACAAACTTTTCCCTTCTGTTTGTTTTGTTTATCTGAGGTTGAGTCCAGGAGGAKAACCCAGACCCTGTCCTCTCACAAACAGAACTGCATCATCTGCATAGAGCAGAAACCGACCAAAGAATKCGGACTCCGCTTTTGTAAACCCAACAAAAAATTAGGAGAGATAAAAACAAACAAACATCTAATTTGAAAGTTACAAATATATTTTAATAAGTTACAAAAAAGGGTGTTTGCTTATCGTGTACCTATTATTTATTTATTTTACACTGAKACTTAACCTTCTGTCAGAAAATACTTTAAATAAAAGAGGCACTTCCTGTTACAACAAACCTGTAAGATTGAGACCTGTTGAGTTGTAAAAAAAACAAACAAACAGAAACAGCTTTGGTTACCAAAACAAATGTAAATGTTATATTTTAAAGACATATATATATTTGATGGAAAATAAAAATAAAAACGGTGACGTCTGGAAAAGCTTGTTTAGATGGTAAAAACCAAACAGACTGGGTCAAAGGTCATTTTATATTCAGGTTATTATCAGAACCYTTAATCCTAACCTAGTTGTAACAGTTTGAAACACTCTGACCCACAGCAGACCAGGGCTGGGTGACTGGACGATCACTGCAGTCTACTGATGCCATTTGTTTAATTTTAGACAATTTCCCCTTAAGAGTTTAAACCTATAAATAGACGAACAAATGAAATGTTAACACACTGTAATATTAAAGGATAAGATAGYGAAACATCATTAGGAATGCACCGACACCAGAACTGGTCCAATCAGAGTACAGGAAGAAGACGACGAAGATGAAGACGAAGAAGCTGGAGGGATGTCAACGTGAACAACGGTGGGAAAAGTGAAGCAGACAGACTTTTAGACTTTAACACAAACAATTTGATAAAACATGGAAAACGCAAACACAAAGTTCAAACAGCTTCAGTCATCGAGCAGAAGAGGATTCTGGGGAATATACGGATTAGAGGCGTAAATCACCAGCTTTATCACGATACAATATTACATCGATATGTTTGGATGACGAGTCGWTATTTCTTGATATCACAAGTCACGATATGATTTTGATTCAATTCAATTCACACGTCTACGATCGATATAATGATATTATCTGATGATATCGATTCACATCGAGCATATGACAATGATATAGATCGATATTTTTATTTTGCTTTGATATAACTGAATCATGAACCATTCAAATCAATATATCGATACAAATGGATGTATCGTTACACTCCTACTAAAGATATGAGCACGAGCTTCCCGACACCAACAGCTGCTTTTTGAAACGTTTGAGAAATTAACTCAAAAGGAAACATGTTGGTGATGGAATTTATTAYTACTTGTATTGGTACTCGGTACCAGCAAGTACTCCAATACAAGTACTTGAATTTGATTTGTTAAAAAAAATGTGAAATTGTTGAAATTGGCTTAAAAAAAACAAGAAATTAAAAGAAAAAACTGCCACTTTGTTTAAAATGATTCTTAATGGCTCTTAATTTGAAATCGGAACTCTGGGATCATTTAAAAATCAACACAAAGTTTAAGAGCAAAAACATAAAAAAATCAAATAAAAGGTCCTTTGATCAACAGCCTAACGTAACAATTAAACAGACCAAAGTTTTCATAAGAACCAGATCAAATGAAYCTGAACCGCTGAGGTTTCTGTCAAACAGAAATAGGTTCAGGGTCTAACTCTCTAAAATACTGACCAACAGTTAAAAGTAACTCTTTCTGTCTGAATGAACAGGTTAACGGTTGTTGGACCGACGGTGACGACCTGAAAGGTTTCACCTGATCACCCAACCCTGGTCCTGGATCTGTGGAGGAGTATTCATGTCAGGGTGAGTGCACTAAAGTAGTTCCAAAGTTGTGGCTGCAGTTTCCACACTAACACAAAGATTTAGTTTGTGTTTTTGGTATACAAACACAGATGCGAGTCTGTACAACATCCTGACACAAACACAATAAAAACACAATTGCACAGTTTTAAAGARGTGTTGCAGCGAGGTGCAGAGTTCTGTGAGTGAGTGAGTTAAAGGAAGCGTGTTTAAGTGCATCTGGTTCTGGTGGCGCCTCCAACAACCCGTCTGAGGAGGGTTCAGGTCCAGAGTCCGGCTCCTCACACAAAATGAGCCTCTCTGTGCTCCACCTCCTGCAGGCGCCTGGGCCGTAGTCTCTGGTACACGGGTTTGGACTGGTTCTGGCCCAGTTCCTCAGGACTGGAGCTGGGAGACGTGTCCACCTGCTCAGCAGCGCCGTCGTCCTCAGGAGGCTCGTCCACTGACACCTCTATCTCCATCCCCAGCTCGTCCTCGTCCTCCTCGTCCTCGTCCTCCTCGTCTTCCTCCTCGGCGCTGTTAGCTAGCCGGCAGTCTTGTAGCGACTTAGCGTTGCTCCCCGTCGGGGGTTTGTAGAAAGTCCCCGGAGGAGGCAGGAGAGTTCTGGGAGCTCTGAAAATCGTGGTCACCGTGTTGTTCTTGGACGCCCCYTCCTCCCGTTTCAAAGTCCTGCTGGGTCGCACTGCGACCGTGTACGGTCTGTTGGGGTAGATCGGGCCGATKGTGGTTCCGAGGGACGAAACGGACGGCATGGAAGCCGACAAGCAGCTGGAGTCCACCGCCGAGCCCTCCGAGGGAGAACTGGACCCCAGTCTGGCAGCTTTGGCGTCAAACTTGTACTGTTTGTCCCACGTTCTCCGCAGCGTCTGCGTGTCGATGCAGGTACTCCGGTAGTTRGTACTGACACGCACCTTCGTGCTGTCCGCCTCGTCCGCCTCATCGATGGACTGCTCGAGACCGCCGCCCTCGTCCTGGCTGCAGGTGTTCCGGGTGTTGTCGTCGGCCCGCCTCCTCCTGAAGGCCCGCTCGGCCGGCATGCTCATGGGCCGYGAGGAGAGTCGGCTGCGGGGGTGTCGGAGCTGCACCCGGGTGACGGTGACGTGCTGAGAGCGACACAGGCCTTTCTCCGAGGCCTTCTCAGTCACACCAGACGCCTGGACCCCGTTTAAAACCGCCGAGTCCGTTTCATCCACTGAACACAAACAGAAAATAAATAATGAGTARGGCAGGTGAAAGGGCCGTGTAAGTCAGTGTATCTTTTGGTCATTGGATTTTCATTTCAGAAACAGGTGTTAAAAAACAAGAAACAAGTGGATATTTGATTTTTGTTTTTAAAATACTGAAATTAAAAAACAAAGTGTTTCTCATGTTGTCTCTTGTTCATATTTTACGACTATCTATTCCCCCACCAGAGGGGGCGCTCTCCTGGCAGCTCCGCATAATAAAACACTCATTTCTGTAAATAAAAAGCTGAAACACAATAAGTTATTTCTCTGTAATCAAAGGCTTTGCAGAGATACTTTGTGTGACTTTTGTTCAAATAAATCTCTTTACTGAATACATGTCGGCTACTGCCTCCACTTCAGCTTCATTTCCCTCAATAAAAAGCAAAATAAGACAACTTTCATTTTTTTAAGTGTGTTGTACAGTTGTTGTTCTGTGAGCAGAAAGGTTTTWTTCCCCTTCWYAGTTTTGACACAATCTGTGCTTTTATCTGTCAGTTCGCACCCTCTGAGTGTTCCTATCTGCGAGTGGTGGGCAATACGACTTTGATATCGATCTGATACCAAGTAAATACTTAATAAATATACTCGATATCGAAGTTGATATTAATGCTTTTTACTTGTGATGGAATGTTCATTGAATAACTTTGATATTGCYAGCGCCACTTCTGGTGGCAGAACAAACTATTTTGGGGATACAGTAAGTTGGCACGACCTGTTGTGTAATTTCAACAAACAAGGTTTTTGCATTTCTGTTTTACATTTATTTTCTTTTTTGTTATTCAAAACAGAAAATGAAATACAAATCTTTTTTTTCGTTCATCTCTTTTTGACACTAAGAATGAGAAACACTTTAAATCAAATATCCACTTGTTTCTTGTTTTTTAATACCCGTTTCTAAAATGAAAATCCAATGACCAAAAGATACACTGACTGTGAAAAACCGTGTACTTTTGGTCATTCAATTTTCATTGTAAAAACAAACAACCATCCGTYCACGGACCTGAAAGCAACACTTTCCATAAATAACTCGACAACACTGACCTGCTTCGAAGTCGTGGAGGTTGGGCAGAGTCTCCTGAACCTCGGCCAACAGGTGAGAAGAAGGGATTATAGAGGAGTGTCTCTTGAACACCTTGGAGCTCTGCTGGAGGTCAGATACAGAATGAAGGTCAGAACGATGAGACGCTCATCTTCTATAAAAACTAACAACCAGTCACCTCCTTGATGTCTCCCAYAGACTTGGAGTGCCGGCTCAGCTGCCGCCCCTTCTCCTGTTGGCTGAGGTCCAGGTCCGTGGGCGGGGTGARGCTCAGAGGGCTGAGGGGCGTGTCGAAGATCATCTGGTAGTGCCTGATCAGGAGCTCCACGGCCAGAGCCTGGTAGGGGTAATCCACCAGGGAGGAGAGGGAGACGTCTGCGTCAGCCTGCCGGGGTTTGATCAGGGTGGGACCGAAGATGATCCCCAGGTTGCTGGCTGTCATCTTGTTCTCCTCAGAATGCTCCGTTACCCTGAAGACAGACAAGAAAACRCTCCTCAACATCTGTTTACAAAGACATGATTATTAATGGATGTCCTCTCTACCTGCAGAGGTGCTCTATGATGAACTGAAGGGTTTTGTAATTAGCCGGAGGCAGCTGCTGGAGCAGGTCTTTGATCTTGAAGAGGACCCGGTTGAGCTCTATGCTGACCTGGTCCGTGGTCACGGCGCTGGGGTTGAGGCGCAGCGCCTCCAGCTCCTCCACCATGATGCTCTGGCTTTCCTTTGCCAAACCGATGATGTCGTTGTAGTAACGGAACAGGATGAGGGGCTCTGGGAGCTGCAGGTCACGACCKAAAACAGAAGAATTAGAAGGAAGAAGTTTTATAGATGTGATAAAAGACTAGAAAACAAATCAAAACCAGCAAACCTGTAGAGAAAACTAAGAAAAAACTGCTAAGCATTATGGGTAAACATCTGTACTTTGGTMTGGTTTTGTTGCAGACGTCTTGTTTCCTTCAGATCAAACAAACCTGGTTCATGTCCTTATAAATTTAGCWAAAACTTAATTCAAAGTCCTCAGAAAACGGATCACTTCTCAAAGCAGCCCACCTGTCTCAGGTAGAGCTTCAGCACATTGCTGATGTCGTGGGGGTAAAGMTCCGACAGCTCCACCAGGTGCTTGCCGTTCTCAAACGCCTGGCACAGCTTCTCCACCCGAGACTTGGCCCCGTTCACCCGGTAGATACCCTTCAGAGCAGGAACACAACAGTCAGCACGGGGAACTCAAMATGCCTTTTTCTGCATCGCTACAGAAGAACTGAGAAAACATCTGCAGAATATTTACAAAAACTCCCTGATTTACTGAAATAACTCCTAATTTACTGCAAACATCAACATGTGTTACATCTTTAATCCAGTAACTAGAAAATTTGAATTTCCTGCAGAAATGCAGTGTGAATGCTTAATGCTGAAACAGTTTTGCTGAATAGCTTAAAAAGCTGAAACTAGCCGAACTTGCTGAAAGAACAGAAATTAGCACAAATAAACAGATTTAGCACATTTGCTGAGTTAGACTGTGAGAAACTGAAATAATCACAAAAGGTAACCTTAGCTGAAAGAAGCTCAAAGTAGATAAAAACACAAAAATAGACTAAATTAGAAGCATAAAAAGCTTAAAAAAGGCAAAAGAAGCTGGAATTACAAAACAGTTAAATTAGCATACGAATGATGAAAAATGTCAGAARTATAGCTATAATGCAGGAAATGCTAAAATCATCTAAATAGAAGTTTAAGGTGACTAAAATTAGCACAAAGAAGTTGAAAACAGCAGAACCAGAACAATCTGTAAATTTTTCTGTAAAGATTTTTAAACATTTGAAAGATTTTAAGACAGCTCTGGTCATTTTTAAACAGAAAAATTTGCAGAAAAAGCTAAATATCAAAAACTATAAATTGCTGAAATATTAAAAGTCAAAGCAGGAACGTCCTGAAGGAGCTTTGATATATAAATTGTACAAATCGGCACAAAAATGGCAGAACAAGATTACCTTCATGTTGAGCGCTCTGTTCTCGATCTCTGACGTACATTTGCGGATGATGAAGGGGAGGCCATCGGGGCTGTTTTTAGCCGCCTGCGTGAAGTCGATGCCGAACAGGTGCAGCTTCCCCTGGAGCTTCTTGTGGCCACACTGGATGGCCAGGGTTTCCAAACACTTCTTATGGCAGGCCAACGAACACTGGAAACACAGAAATCAATGTGCTGAACTTTTATCAGACTGTAAAACTGATCAGACAGAAAATGTCTCACTTTACAACAAAGGAAAGCAGGTAAAGAAAACATTTCAACTAAGAATTTTAAGTTTTTCCAGACTTAAATTTCCAAATATCTAGAAAATATTTTTGGTTTATTCTTATTTTCTAAAACAAACGTTTACAGTACATTTACGATAAACATTTTTTTCCAATATATGCAAACTGAAAACTAATTAAAAAGGCAAATAAAACAAAATAAAAAAGCAGAAAAGAACCACAGAGAAACTGAAACGGCCACTGATGGCTCCAGGATAAATTTGTGGCAGCCATCTTGCTAGGTGCTACATTGACTTCCTTCTAGTTCTCTCTTCAGGGGTTGAGTCATCGTTCTCCCTCCCCTCTGCCCTCGCTCCAGCTACCTCCATGTCCCAGCTGCACTCATGTGTCAGCTTCCTGTCAATGTGTCAGCCAGGTTTACGTCACCTGTTCCRTGTGAACACTTTGTTGCCGTCACGTTCAGTGAATCTAATAAAAACTTGCAGAAACCTGATCTAGAGTCAACAGAGCAGAGGGCTGCAGTGAGGGATMATAGGAAAGATTCCTCAGAAGACAAACAGAGGCTCTTTAGTTTCTCTTCTGATGAGTTTAGTTTTAAATCAGYTGAGGGGCTGAGGTTACCTCTTCACACTCAGCTCCATGAAACACCACCAGGCTGTCACACTCCCTGCACTTGGACGGAGCTCGGAGCTTCCTCAGCTTGTGGGTCTGAGCAGCCTTGGACATCTGGGTGTTTCTGAASGGCCCCGGGGAGCTGGCGGGTTCCATTACCAGATCACTTAAACCTACAGAGTTAAAAAAGAAAAACACTTTAATGGAAGCTCTTTTGTCCCACATCTGCAAAGATTCCTGTTGGACTCACCGGTGTCCAGCGGAGAGAGGGGCTCCCTGTCGTCCAGGTCATCAGCGGACGACATGGTGCCGGTGGAGGGGGTTCTGGGTAATCTCCTCTTGAAGTCACCTGGGCGATAAGGCAGGGTCAAACCCACTCTGTTGCACCTTGTTTTGTTGAACAGCAACAACCAAACATCATCAGTGCAGCTGTTTTTATGTGTTTGTAGCTTTTAGCAGCAGCATGTTGTGCAACAATGAAAACTGTGGTTGTTAAGCCTCCTGATTGTGAAACAACACGCCGACACCACAAGAGAACATCAGGTTCACAGGAAAGGAGTGAATGTCGCCCCGAGGGCAGCAAAGAAAAACTATGTTTGTTTTATTTAGCTGTGGAGCTTTAATATTTACCACTAACAGAAGCTGAGCAGCTCAAGATAAACACTGTGAGGAAATAAAAACTGATTTATTGCTTCAGTGAACTCAGATTATCAGTTTCTGTCATGAAGTGGAGGGGGAGGGGTTTCTGCGGGGCTACCTGGACTTGCAGTAGGTGAGTCCATAGACCGAGACTCGCTGCTCCCTCCGGCACTTTCCGAGTCGCTGCACATCCCTCCGCTCTGATTGGCCGAGGCCCAGGGGCGGAACGGGCCCTGAATCCGCAGCGCTGCGTCAAAAAGAAGCAGGATTAAACCAGAGAAACTGTAATTACAGTCTGAGCCAGCAGCCGAAACAAGGATGGTGAAGGAAAAGAACAGCTAAAGACAGAACAGTGTAGCTAAAAGAACAGTTACAAAACACCAGCTAAAATTAGCTAAACATGAGTTAAATTCTAAAAGTAACAAAACAGCAGCTGAAAGATGATATCAACTAAAAGCCAAAAGGATTAAACTTTAGGTAAAGTAAATATTAAAGTGACAGCTAAAAGTAACAAAAAACCCTATAAACTAAAAGTGACAAAACTTCATAAACAAAGCAAAACACAATTTAAAGCTAACAGCAGCAACACACCAACAGAAATCCAATAGTAATAAAAATGCTAGCAAAAAAGTATCAAAAATGCTAACCAAATGTACCAAACAACATCTTAAAGCTAATAGAAGTGAAACACTAATAGCTAAAAGTAGAAAAATGTTAACTTAAAGCTATAAGGTAGCACTCGCTAAAACTTAAAWGTAACAAAACACMAGCTAAAAAAAACCTAAACCATAAGTTACAGCCAAAATCAATAAAATGCCAGCTAAAAGRTAAATGTATCAAACTGCTGTCTAAAAGCTAGATAACAAAATGCTAGCTTAAAGCTAAACCATGCCTAAAAGCTACAGAAAATGAACTGAAATAACAAAGAGCCAGCTAAAAGCTAAATGTAGCAAATGCTATCAAAAAGTTAAATGTAGCAAAATATTGTCTAAAAGCGATAATAAAATGCAAGCTAAAAGCTAAATGTAGCAAAACACTGACGAATACCTACAGATAATAAAAGGCCAGTAAAAGGCAACACAAACTAAAAGTTACAAAACATTAGCTAAAACTCACAGGATGCTGACAATGTGGACGCTGACTCAGCGTTTCCACTCAAACTGCAGAGATTCTGTGACATACAGTTTCTTCGTCACAGACGCTCCGATAAGTGAAGTGGAGTACCTTGGATGTCGGCGCTGCCGTTGAAGCGCCGCTCGGCGATCCTGGCGTGGTGCCCGTTGTTCTGACCGTCGGCGTCGTCCCCGCCCAGGACGTCYGAGGTGACGGACAGCTGCGACAGATTACTGTGGGAGGAGTGGCTGCCACTCAGCGAACGCTTGTTCAGAGGAAGCCTGGCGAGAAAAAAACAAAAATAAAACACTGATAGTGAAATCTGAAGAAGGACTCTACAGCCAATGGATCACGACATATTTTACTAACAGGCAACCTTCCACTTCAAAAGATCTGATCTATCACTTTAATTAGATAACTACTGTTTAAATTTAAACATTAAAATAAAATCTGTGAAATATTTCACCTCAAACAGAATTAAATGAGGTTTTTGTCCTTTAATTTGTAATTAAATTAAATGTCATCGACACAMTTAATCCCAAAGTGTTGATTATTTCCCGTCAGAAAACGAGGAGTTCCCTGAATAATCCTGACGTGGTGGGATTAGATRATCAAAGGCAGCAGTTAATTACAGCATAACGGCTCCAAACACTCGTCTCCTTTGTTAAAGCCAATTATCCCACATTTAAGGAGGTCAGGGGTCTATATTTAAGCCTTCGGGAGGGGCGGGCCCACGGGTGCGTGTGAACGTGGGTGTGTCCACGCGTCCAAATTTCATTTCCTCTCTCCCGAGCTGAATTCTTTTGATCGGAGGGATCAGAGTCGGGGGYTGGTGGTGGCAGCGAGAACAAAGCCCGCTCTTATTCCCAGCTGTCTGGTATGTGTGGAACCGTGGACCTGTGTCAACAAAACCTCTCGTTTTTTTTTTTTTTTAAGTAGAAAATAACACTTTGGTGTAATTGGTCTAAATCTGATTTGTTCATGATAGAACGTTTAGGAGCCAGAAAACGACACGAGTTCTGTAAAGTGATTCCCGAGCRGCTCTATCTGCTGACCGCAGTTATTTCCGCAGGAAAAGCCGGCCGACACGATTGTTTTACACTTTCCAAAACACCCCCTCCCCCCTCTCCTCCTCGCTCCACCACCCAGGGAGCGAGGTCCAGGAAACATCACGCCTCCTCCAGGAGATTTCAGCTGATTTACTCGCTGCGTCAACCTTTCAGGAACCTTTACATGAAGCCAAAGAATCAAACCTGACAAAGCTCATCTGAGCTTTATTYCAGGTGGAGTGTGAAGGAGTTCACTCTGGTTCCAGTACATTAATGTGCAGTTCTGAAAAGTGGGTCTGCTCTCAARGTAAACAAAAGTCTGATGACCTACATCAGGCCGGCTGCTGTCTGTAAACAAAAATGACCGAACGGTAGCTGGGTTTCAGTCACAGGGTTTTGATTGACGCATGATTTCAAATGAGGGCAGGAAGAGAAATGTCTTTAGAGAAAACTGTAAAGAGTTTAGATCCAGTTCCAGGACAGKGTTCACACTGCAGGTCTTAACGCTCAATTCTGATTGTTTTTTTAATCCGATCTTTTMGTGTGAACGRTCACATTACATTTTAAATGTGACCTGCATCAGACTCCTGTGTGAGCTCTCCACAGCACTGATGTGACTCACATGCACAGTAAAAGACGTGACGTCTCATTCAGCTGTTTGTTTACAGAGCTAGCATGGATARTACTTTTAGCACATCGAATCTGAAGTTGTTGTTTAATCAGAGCCGATTAAATAATTACCTGACGCTCATTTAGTTCAGTGTTTATATCTGAACCTGACTCTGACCGGGATGCTCCAGTGAAGCTTTTTATTTTTGGAATGAAACAACGAGCTGGAAAAAAGTATCTGAGTAAGTTGAGGATCGATACTCTCTGTGAGCCAGGCTGGACGTTACCATCTACATGGAAAATTTAAAGTAAAAAGATGAAGCAACTGGACTTCTGCTTTGGAGCTGTAAACACATGGAGCTACAGAGGTTAGTGTCTTATCGATCCTTCACCCCCTCCTCCCTGATGAAAAAGTCAGATGAATGTGACATGAGCGTTCACACTGCAGTCGCTTTGAAAACATCAGATATATATCCGATTTAAAACCACATACTGAAACGGCCTGGGTCGGATTAGAAAAAATCTGATTTGTCGCATTCAGACTGTCATAAAAATTCAGAAATGGGTTGCATGGGGCAAAAAAACAACAACAAATAAACAAAAAAAAAAAAAACGGATTTGGGTGGCATTTGCCTGCAGTGTGAACGTAGCCAAAGATCCCAGAAATTAGTTCACAAATATGTCAGACTCGACACGCATCTCAAAGATAAATGAGTTTGACAGAACCTGATGATTTGATGACAATCGAGGTCATCGATATCAAACTATCTGCTCCTTCAGACGTCTCACTWCACCAAACACATGAAAGCCGGTGGTCCACAACCTCAGTACCAACCAGCTCCACAYTATTGTTTATATGTTGCTATATGCTAACGTTAACAAACATGCAGCACCTAAAGACACTTGACGTCGTTAGCCTGAGGTAAACTGATCTCAGAGGCTGTCCCAYTTCATAGGCATCTACTCATGCTGCCAATGAAACTCTGGAAACGTAGGCTGCTTCTGATCCTACGTGCAGTGTCTGTTAGCAAAACATCTCACGAACCACAGATCAGTTTTAARAAAAGTGTAAAATAATCTTTATAGKCATCTGGACCCAGTTCAGACGCTGCTTTTAGAAGAACCTGATGAGGAGGTTTAAAGTGTTAGCAGGAGCTCGGTCGGCGTCTCACCAGGAGTTTTGAGTGGCGGCTGAATCTGAGTGCGGCTCCAGGCGAGCGCCGTCCGTCGACAGGCTCCTGACGAACTCGATGTACCTCTGGCCCGGCTCGTACAGCTTGGCGCTCTCGCACAGACTCTGGTGGTTGACGGGCAGAGACACCACCTGGGCCTGCTGGAGCTGGAACCAGTTGACGGTCACCTGGAGGAAAGACGTTATCAGACTCCTCCACCAACAGATTAATAATCTGCAGTGAGGTTTAATCTGTAACATCAGCTGAAGGTGTGGACTCACAGCTTTGAGGGTYAGGTCACACTGGGAGACCATCTCTCTGATCTGAGTGATGATCTCACTCTTGGTGTTGGCCAGGTTCACCTTCTTCAGACCAACGTCCACCTGACAGGCCTTGCAGTGCTCCCTGGCCTCCTCAGCCTGGAGGAGAAGATTCCAGCATGAAGCTACAGTTAAATCTGTCCACAGAGCAGAGGAAACCTGAGAGCTCCACCTTCTGCAGCGCCTCCTCCTCCAGCCTGCGCCTCTTCTCCAGCTGCTTGGCCGCCGCTGGCCCCGCCCCTCCACCGCTCTGCTCCTCCTCCAGACGGCTGGTGGTCACCTTGGCCTTCTCGTACTCCTCCTGCCGCTGCGCCTGCAGGAGGCGGGCCTTCTTCAAAGCGCTGTC